AAAAAAAAAAAAAAGAAAGGCAACTTACAACAACTAAATACACACACAGAGGATCTATGAGAATAAAACATTTCAAAGTATTAATAATATTTTATGTGGACGATGGGATTATAGAATTTCTCATTTCTTTTTTCTTTTTAAGCTTTGTTTGCTAACTTTTCTGTATTACATATGCCTTATTTTTGTGCTAAAAATAAGTAAATACACACACATATGTATATGTCTGCAGCAAGCAAACTATAAACCATCTAGCAGTCTTGGGCTAGCTAACATACCAGACAGCAATTTGCTTATGGTAAATATCTGGACTAAGCTAACTGCCTAGGCCGGTCACATCAAAAAATATATGTCCCTTTGTTAATATCTCTGATGTCATCCATTATTTCCAACCTAATTTTGCATTAGATTATTAGTGTGAGCTTTTCCTAAAGCAATATACCTCTTAAAGGATGACATGACAGGGAGTCTTCAGAGTAAGGGCCTATTTTAATCAGTTAATTATTTCCATATTTTCATTTCTAAAAATTATATTTAGTTTCTTTTTTCTTTTCCTTCCTTCCATCCTCCCTACCCCCGCCTCCCCTCAGCTCCCCTCTCCTCCCCTTTCTTTTTTTCAAGTTCTGGCTCTATTGCCCAGGCTGGAGTGCACTGGCATGAGGTTGGCTCACTGAAAACTCCACCTCCCAGGCTCAAGCAATTCTCCCACCTCAACCTCCCAAATAGCTGAGACTATAGTGTACAACACCATGGCCAGCTAATTTTTTTATTTTTTGTAGATATGGAGTTTTGCCATGTTGCCCAGGCTGGTCTCTGACTCGTGAGCTCAATTGATCTGCCGGCCTCAGCCTCCCAAATGGCTGAGATTACAGGTGTTAGCCACTGCACCTGGCCTATATTTACTTTCTAGTCATTGAACTAGATCAAGTTTTTTTTTTTTTTTTTTAAACACAATGAATGAAATGCATTCTCCTTTGTTTATGCCAATTTTGTCCTCCATTCCATATTTCTAGACTTCCTGTATTAATTTCTGACTATCCCACAGTTTCCTAATTGGTCATATTCTTTCTCATGATTCAGCAGCATAAGCACAATGTCACCAGTCTACTCTTTCTAAGATACATCAAATGGGTCAATGCAGTCTTTGAGAACATATGGTAATTTCCCCAGTATCTATAGATCCGCTCCAAAATAGAAGCCAAAACAGTCTCCTCATAATCTGGTCCTCTAAGTTTGGTATCAAATCACATTTCCTTGGCCTTCTAACACATATCAGCCACCCCTGCCTTTCTGCCATATGGTCATACTTTGCTCAGCTTCTGGTGTTCTGCTTTGATTATTACTTTTCCTGGTCATTGACTGTCTTTTTTCCCCTTCTGCTTATTTTCTTTCTAGTGGTATCTCTTCCTAAAGCCTTCTGCAATTACCATGCCCATTTAAATTACTCTTTTTCATCAGCCTTTAGTAATTAAACTCTTTTGTATTGGTCCATTTCCATACAGCTATAAAGAACTACTTATGATTGGGTAATTTATAAAGGAAAGAGGTTTAATGGACTCACAGTTCAGCACAGCTCTGGAGGCCTCAGGAAACTTACAATCATGGTAGAAGGCAAAGGGGAAACAAGGCACCTTCTTCACAAGGCAGCAGGAAGGACAAGAGCAAGCAGGGGAAATGACAGACACTTATAAAACTATCAGATCTTATGAGAACTCACTCACTCACTATAAAGAGAACAGCATGAGGGAAACCATCCCCATGATCCAATTACCACCACCTTGCCTCATCTTTGACACTCAGGATTATGGGGATTATGAAGATTACAATTCAAGATAAGATTTTAGGTGGGAACACAGCCAAACCATATCATCTTTGCTAAATATTTTTTAATTAGCCTGTAACAATTGTATATATTTATAGAATACATAGTGATGTTTCTGTACATACAATGTATAGTGATCAGATCACAGTAATTAACATATCCATCATCTTAAAATATTTATCATTCTTTTGTGTTGGGAACACTCAGTATCCTTCTATTTGAAGCTTATATATATTAACTATATTCATCCTATAGTTCTATAAAACACTAGAACTTATTCCTCCTATATAGCTGTAATTTCGTATCCTTTAGCAAATCTCTCACTATCCCTCTTTCCCCCACACCCTTCCCAGTCTCTACAGTCCTCTGTTCTACATTTTATTCTGGGAGATCAACTTCTGCATATGAATGAGAGCTTTCTGTTCCTGATTTATTTCACTTAACATGATGTCCTCCAGTTCCATATTGATATTTTGTCATTTAGTAAGATTTCTTTTACTATTCTCTATGTCATATCTGTCTGTCTGTCTGTCTATCTATCTATCTATCTATCTATCTATCTATCTATCTATCTATCTTCTATCATATCTGTAAGCTGTGGCTCCCCAACATGGCTGCTAGTTGTAGAAAGGTAGGACTGTAATCTCCATATTGTACTTTCTTTTCATTCCTATCAGTGTCTTGTTCAGGGTTGAGAATATAGTAGATAGCTGATAAAATTTTGCTAAATCATATTAGGTTCGTGATAACTGAGTTTAATCCTCCACCAAATAAATAAGATTTTGTCATTTGTAAATCGAATGTTAAGTATAAAGATCATTTATTAATAAAACTTCAATAATTATTCATTTATTTTATCCATTTTTGTCTATAAACAGAGCATTGTTCATGCTCAAATGTTTGACTAGTTGAAATAAGCTCTTCCTCTGACAACTTTCTGTCAAATAGTTATTTAAAACTCTCGAGTGTATTGCTCTAGGAGAATGACACATGGTGATTTAACATGGGATGATGCCTAAACAATGGGTGACAGAGAGTTATTAACAGGAAGCAGCTATATCACAGGGTCCTCAAAGACTCCTAAATAATAGAAAAGTTATCTTTACTCAGCTAGCTGCCTGATAAAGACTGTTGCCTCTTTAAGAATTGTTGCCTCTTTTATTTTACTGCCTTTGTTTTTCTTTTACTCTACTTCGCTGCTGTGGTTATTAAACTGACAACGCAATTATGGAAGAAAGGGCTGTGTTTTAGAACTGAGTGTTTGGATCTGCATTCTCCCTTAGTGAGAGCGTCTAACATCAAATTAGCCTAGAGGAATAGCATGCCGATTAAAAATAAGCTTTCAGTTCCATTGAAAGGTAGAAGTCTATTATTTGCCTAGATCCAGGCACAGAAAAAAAGATGCTCTATATAAAATAATTACCAGTTATTTTCTGATTTCCATTGTCCTTTTAAAGTCAAATTATTTTAAAAATCTTACAGCAGAAAATGGCTAGAAGTAGGTCTTATCTAATAACATAGGTGAATAAACAAAAAATCAATTTGATAATTATTGCCCAATAATGCATCTTATGTACCAAACTTTATATTACTATAAAGTTTTATTTTAGTATTCCTTCCAAGTATCCACCAAAAGAGATATACTTTTCCCTCCTTCCACCTTCAGCCCATGAAAACAGATCCTATTTTCTCAAATTATTTCTTAATTTTTTAATGATTAAATTGCAAATATGTAAAGGCTTAAAGAGATCTCATGAGAGTTATGAACAGAATCCACCACATGCAAAATGAAAAAAAATTAAAATTTATCAATGGAGAATTATCAACATGGAATGATGATGCCTGCTTACATATTTTTTAGAAATTTTAAAAATTAATTGAATTTTATGCTTGAAAAATAAGGATTTGTAAGCAACATTAGGCAAAAGTGAAATTTAGCCTAGATTTAGAATCAGAGAAACTGAATTTGATTTCTAGTGACATAATCTCTTACCATGTGACAGGTTGGTCATGTGATACCTTTTTCCAACTCTTAATGGGGATGTCATTTGTACTAATTATTCTTACTTATTACTTACTTACTTACTTATTTGTAATGTCATTAATTATTACTTATTTCACCAGGTGATCTTTCAGAATAAGACTGTGAAAGTAGTTAATACCCATAAAGTGCTCTAGAAATGTAAGTTATTATTTCTCTCATATCTATTGATATATAAACAGTGCATTTTAAAGTTTTATGTATATGGAATAATTATACCCTATGAGAGGGGTTCCCAACCCCCTGAGTCACAGACCTGTACCAGTCTGTGTCCTCTTAGGAACTGGACTGCATAGCAGGAGGTGAGTGAGCATTACTGCCTGAGCTCTACCTCCTGGCAGATCAGCTGAGGCATCAGGGTCTCATAAAAGTGTGAACCCTATTGTGAACTGCACATGTGAGGGATCCAGGTTGCATGCTCCTTATGAGAATGCCTGATGATTGATGATCTCTGAGGTGGAACAATCTCATTCCAAAACCATCCCTCCACCTTCACGCAGGGGAAAAATTGTCTTCCAGGAGACCAATTGGACCCTGGTGCCAAAAAGGTTGGGAATTGCTGCCCTATGACATCTAAGAAAGCAAAGTTGTTTAGAAAGAAAACATAGTAGTCTATACTGGGCACTCACTATATGCTAGGCATTGTGCAGGCAATATTTAAGTTCATCTTTAAAATAATCCTCTGAGTTAGGAATACCTTTATATTCAACTTACAGATGAAGAAATATAAGCCCAAAGAGGTTAAAAGCTTGCCCAAATCAGGGCATAAATAGTAGAGTCAGCCTCATCCTAGATTTTCTCCAAATACTGTGCCCTTCCACAGAACATTGCATTGGAGATCTTTTCTTCCACCACGGGATTTATAAAAGCAAGAGTCCACTCCAGGGAGGAGCTCACACCCACGATGATAAAGACGTGAAGGAGACTTGCCCATCAACAAAGAAGGCGCAAGATGCTTCCTTCTCGGATGGCCCTGGCAGCATGCCTGTTCCATAAATTGCCTCCATGAGGCTTCTGCTACTTCATCCCCTTATTAAGGTCTGTCTGTGGTTACTCCACCTCTTTCCTTCTAATCTCTCAGATAAAAGAGCAAATGAGCAGATGAAATATACAGTCTGAAGGCTGAGTTTGAAAGAAACTGCACTACGGGAATAGGGTAAAGGAATTAATATTTTCTAAGTCACTATCCTGTCTTTGCTTCTAAGTTGTCTTAATCCATTAATAACAGTTTCCTAGATCTGTATTATTATTACCACTTTTCACAGATTTACACTCAAAAAGATCTAGTAATTTCTCACGGAACCTGGTTTGATTCAAATTGTTTCCAAAGTCTCCCTCTGTCTTATGACATTAGAATGCAAAACAGGCAACGAGGTGCAGCATAAGCCATTCATTACAAGAGGGCTATCTCAGTCCCCAAAGGATAAAAATTGTTTCATGGTTGTCTTCGTATGTTTGGGTTGCTACAACGAATACCATAAACTAGGTAACTTCTAAACAACAGGAATATATTTCACGGAATATTAGAAGCTAGGAAGTCCAAGATAAAGGCACTGGCAGATACAGCATCCAGTGAGGACCCATTTTCTCACAAACAGCACCTTCTTGCCATATCCTCACATAATTGGAGGGCTGAGGGTCTCTTTAAAAAGGACTATTTTATAAAATCACTATTCCCATTCATGAGGACTCCATCCTTATGACCTAACCATCTCCTAAATTCCTGACCGCTGAATAGCATCACCTTGGGTTAGGATTTCAAAATATACATTTTGGGGGAACATATTCAGACCACTGCAATGTCTAAAAATCTTTCTCTTGCTATGTGTAAGGCATAGATATGCAAATAACACAAAAATATACAGTATATATTGATTATTAAATTTCATTGGAGAAGAACACAGGCATAAGGAGAGAAATAGTAACTAAACTCTACTAAACTTGCAGGGATTTGTAGCTCTCATCAAGGTCAGAAGCAGGTCATGCTGTTTCTCAGCTGTGTCAGCCATGGGAGATATCACATATTTTAGAACACATGAGGCAAAGTTGGGCACTTCTCAAAACCTGGTGAAATTCCATCCAAGCCAATCAAAGTCTAGAAGAATCAGCATTATTTCTTTCTTTATTCGAGACAGAATCTCACTCTTGCCCAGCCTGGAGTGCAGTGGCACGATCTTGGCTCACTGTAATCTCCACTTCCCACATTCAAGTGATTCTCCTGCCTCAGTCTCCCAAGTAGCTAGGATTACAGACGCGCACCACCACACCTGGATAATTTTTGTATTTTTAGTAGAAACAGGGTTTCATCATGTTGTCCAGGCTGGTCTCAAACTCCTGACCTCAGGTGATCTATCCACCTCGGGCTCCCAGAGTGCAGGGATTACAGGCATGAGCCACTGTGTCCGGCCCAACGCACTATTTCTAAACCATCAGTTAAAGAAACACAGAAATGGTTGACCCATATATGGGCAAACCAAGCTTTTGCTGTGCTCCTCTCTCCACACACAACATTCTACCATCACATTACAACCTGCCTTTCATTCTTTCGTCCATCTCCCAGGACGGAGTGTCCTAGATTCATGCCTCCAAAAAATACTTGACTTCTCCACCTTCCATTATACTTTTGTCTCCTGGAATGTCCAATGTCTGCACAGAGTGTCATACAGCCCAGGCACTGCATTTACAAAGACCTGGATTTGAATTCTGACTCTGCAATAAATGATTGGGTACGATTGATATATCCTCTTCTTATGATATATCCTTTCCTTTTCCAGTTGTGAAATGGGACTACTGATGTCTACCTTTTGAGACAGTCATGAAGAGAGAATATAGAAACCACTTAGCACTGTGTTTGGCCAGCAGTGTTTATTTGATGTTAGTATACCAGGAATTTTATCAACTAAGTTATTCTCTTCTTAGATCTGGAACCATGCATATGTATGTTATGTATCAAACAGTACATATATGTGAGCCATGAAAAATCACAAACCAGCAGGGCACAGTGGCTCACATCTGTAATGCCAGCACTTTGGGAGGCGGAGGCAGGCAGATCACAAGGTCAGGAATTCGAGACAATCCTGGCCAAAATGGTGAAAGCTTGTCTCAACTAAAAACACACACACACACAAAAATTAGCCTGGCATGGTGGCGAGTGCCTGTAGTCCCATCTACTAGAAGGCTGAGGCATGAGAATCGCTTGAACCCAGGAGTTAGAAGTTGCAGTAAGCCAAGATTGGGCCAATGCACTGGGTGACATAATGAGACTCCATCTCAAAAAGAAAAAAAAATCACAAACCGTAACTCAGATGGCATCTCCTTCAGGAAAGCCACGTCTATATCCTTGCCTCCTCTCATCTAACTCTGAGCTGACACATATTTCTTTTGTTGTGTTCTTTATGCTATAAATGATTCCTTTACTCTTCTCTCTTTCATTAGGCTGACTTCCTTATGGACAAGAATTCTGCCTTATGCAATTTCTTATTTTCACTACCTGGAATAAAGGTTTTTCATAATTTACTGTTAAATGATGGATGTTGGCGATGTGTTTCCACTATTTGATTACCTATGTTGCATGGATGTAGCTTATCTTTTCATCTTTGTCAGGAATACTTTTATCCCCATATCTTAAAGCTGAGACAAAAATTCATACCCTTGAATACAATCTTATTTATGCTGATTTTAAAACTTGACTATATGGTAAATATCTTAATACAGAGAGAGGTATATATGAAATTTATCTTAAAACATAGAAACCTACATATGTTTACACTTCTTTCTTATTTCATGTTTTCTCACTTGTCATCAGCCTGTTTAACATACCATGCATAATTCCAGGGAAAGATATGCAGGTGGTAATTTCTTTCTATCCTTTCCTGGGCTTCGCAGCTAATTTTAGCAAATGCATTGGGCAGACTTTTTGTAGAGATTCACAGTATTTATTTTATAATTTTTCATTATGAGTTTCAAGAGCACAAACACCCAAAAATCAGGAAGAAGAATGTGTACTGATATCAAACGTGCAGTGTTCACTAGCAGCCCTTATCTAATGAATCGTAATAGTGCTTAATCCTATGGGTACATATTGACAGCCAGTTTATCTAATTACTCACATTCACAAATTAATTGGAGTCATAACACAATATATTATCTTCACTCTGACATGTTTTTGGAGGTCTTCAGGGAGACCATATTTTTTGAAACAACTGAACAGCTTGGAGTAGTTTAAAAGGATCTGATTTATAAGCATGGCTTAGGAGGAATCTTCATTCCCTTGGTGTACTTTTTTTTTCAGTTAATTAAGATACTTCAATTAGAAAGCGGTGGATATTTGTTGGAATGATAATGTGAACCTTTTCATGGTAAGCTCAATAGCCAATGTTACAATCTACATTTCTTTGAGATTGAACTAAATGACATATTCATCAATTCAAGCAAATGCGTGTTCTTTTCTTAGTAACACTTTCTTCTCCTTTATCCTTTGAAACTCCACGCAAACATCACTTTCTAAGAAGTCTTTCTGGACTCCTTCCACATGTGGTGAGGTTGGAAGCTTCAGCTGGAACTCTGTGCATGCTGGGCACATTACAGCATTTCACTGTGATGTTTTCTCTCTTCTGCTGTTAAGCAACAGATCAAGGCCTGTGGCCTGGCACATTCTACAAATTAGGTGCTAGGTCAGGGACAACGGATAAAAATCAGAATAAAAAAGGGACCTTTCCTTGAGGAATCATATTTTAGTAAGAAATACAAAAAGGTAAGCTAGTAATTTAAATTCAAGGTTAAGGTCTATGGTCAATATATTTTTGTTTTTTGTTTGGTTATTTGGAGACAGGGTCTTGCTTTGTCCCCCAGGCTGGAGAATAGTGCGTCCATCATGGCTCACTGCAGCCTCAACCTGCCAGCCCAAGCAATCCTTGTACCTCAGCCTCCCAAGTTGCAGGGACCACAGGAATGTGCTACCACACTCACTATTTTTCTTTTTTAGACATGGAGTCTTGCTATGTTGCCCAGGCTGGTCTTGAGCTCCTGGAATCAAGCAATCCTCCAGCCTCAGCCTCCCAAAATGTTGGGATTACAGGTGTGACCCACCACACCCAGCCCATGATATTTTCACAGTTCAACGAATGCAAAGGCTGGCTGAGAAAGTACTTTGCATCAGTGCAGGTTTTTACAAGGATGATGTTTTCAGGTAATTGGTTTGTTTGCTGTGAGAGACAACTCCATGGATATTTTAGATGTGCTATTATTAAATTAAGTATTTAAACAGTTCGCTTAATAGCAAGGACCTTAGCAGCTAGTACCTTTATATTCTAATATATCCTGTGTACATTGCCATTTGCTTTCACTAGATGTAATTTTTAAAATGTAGCTTAATTCAATATTTCCTAAACACTAAGTGTGTTAATTGCTGTTAATGACATGAGGCTGAGTAAATCTGTCATCTTGGGAACTTATTTTGAGTTCGACCTTGTCTACATAATAGACACTATGCTAACATTTATCCTAGGCCTGATTATTTAATTCCTGTGAACACACACTGGGAGGAAGGCATTATCATTTCTATTTCAGAGATTAGAAAACTGATAATCAGACTAGTTAAATAACTTGTTCAATGCCACACAGCTGAGAAGGGGAAGAAGCAGAAAAGAGATCCTTTTACCCAAGCCTTGCTTCCTGTTAAACTAGCATATGGTTTCCCAAAGGAGTCACCATACTATCTAGTGGCGGAGGATAAGACACGTATCCAAGTGGCCCCATTAGGAAGACTGTCCTAAGCCCTGCATAAACCAAGGAAATTGACATTTAAGAGAGAAAAATACATAAAGGCTTCGTGAAGAAGTTTGCAAGACAGTGGCAAGGATTCCCCAAAGACATTGTAAAAGGGAGATAGGAACATCTAACATAATATACAGTATCTGTACTTCTGGTAAACTTCATACTGAAAAATTAGTAATACCTACTGTACTTTGAATACCTATTGTGAATTTCAATTACAATCAATTGTTCACCAAATGACTACTGTGCATCTGCCAGTGAGTGAAGCTGCATTATTTTATCACTTTTCATTACGAGCTGTGAAGTAGATGCTATATGAGGAAACTGAGGTAAAGGATTTAAGTAACTTGTTCAAGTCTCACAGCTAAATAAACTGCAGAGCTAGCATTCAAAGCCTGAGCTCTTAGCCCTGTATTACTTGACCTGCTGGTCATACTGGGAAAGTGCTTATCTCTGTGTCAGTCCTGTAATAAGTACTGAATAATAAGAGTTGCTTCCATTTATAGCACATTATCATAATCAAAGACACAAAAGCAAGACTATATACAACAATCTCAAAGAAGTCTATGTGGTCCCTTTTGGTGAGGGATTGGTGTTTGGAGGAGACATATGGGCAAAGGCAAGTTGAGAGCACAAAAGAAGAATTTTCAAGATCAGAAGGCATTTGACCTTGATTTGAGAAACAATTATGACACAACAATGGTGTTATTATAGCAGGTCAGTAACCTATAGAAACCAACTTATAAAGTGCACATTTAAAATGCACCTTTGGAAGTGAGAGATTATTGACCTAGACTGGGAAAATGATTGAGTATGAGCTGCAGGGGCGAAGGAACATTAAAAGATAAGTTTTGGGGAACTGAGCTTAGGTGGATGAGTGGGATATGGTGGTGGACTAAAATACAGGGCAAAGAACAATAAAAACAGCCTTAGTTTGGGGCTGGGTCATAGGCACGAAAGGAATTAATGGGAGGAAAATGACAACCCTATTTGGGGAAACTTTGATTTATAGAGCCAATGTGGTGTACACCTAATGATGTTCAGCAGGTTGTTAGAAATGTGTGTGACTTAGTATAGCCCATGAGAAAAAAAGACAGGGTTAATGATACAGATTTCAAAATGATCCAGAACTGTACAATATTGGTCACCAAATTATTACTCATCGTATCCAAAGTAGCTTTTGGTCACTATCCCTCTGTATAGTTTTAGTTTTTTGGGTGGTGGAGGCAGAGACAGAGTTTTACTCTTGTTGCCCAGGTTCAAGTGCAAAGGCATGATCTCAGCTCCCTGCAACCTCTGCCTCCTTGGTTCAAGTGATTCTCCTGCCTAAGCCTCCTGAGTAGCTGGGATTATAGGCATCCACCACCACGACTGGCTAATTTTGTATTTTTAATAGAGACAGGGTTTCACCATGTTGGCCAAGCTGGTCTCAAACTCCTGACCTCAGGTGATCCACCCGCCTCAGTCCCCCAAAGTGCTGGGATTACAGGTGTGAGCCACTGCGCTCAGCCTGTATAGTTTTATTTATATTTGGTGTGCTTTATAGTACCTGAAATTATGTGTGCCATATATACCTACCTTTATTTTTTATTATCAGTATTCTTCATTTCATTATTATAAGGAATCTGACATTTTCATCACTGTGTTTATAGATTCTAGATAACGCTTGGCATATAGAAGGCATTCAATGCATACATTTCATATGAATGAATTACTATACCAATCAATGGGTCTCAGTTTTTATATCCATAATGTAAAACACACATTCCTTATCACTAATAGGCTATTGATACTGCTAAGATCGTGATGAAACCTATGAACTATCTGCTCAGAAAAAGGCACACATACTGCAATTTGTCATACTGTATATGTATAGAGGATTCACAGACATCTCAAGGCCCACAGATTCATCTAGAATTAGAGATACAAAGCTGTGGGCTCATCCCACGTTTCCCTCACTGTGAACCTTGAAGGAAACCTAAACCTAGGGTTTTGGATAATTTATTTTAAAACCGATCTCAGAATATCTTAGTAAAAGCAGTGTCATATGTATGTGTGGGAGTATTAACTCTAGTCTCTACCCTAAAGCATGTAGGTGTTCGATGTACCCAAATCAGGAGTTCAAATTCAAGAGATGATTATTGCAAACCTTGACAATATTTTTAGGACTTCTAGAAATATTATACATTGATAAATTTAATCAGTTTACAATGTTGATAAATTTAATTATAAATTGATAAAATTCATTGGTTATCAAAACTGTAATTGGCTTAAAAGACCACAAAGGCAAGTACTGCTTTCATGAACAAAACATGCAACCCAGCAAGCCCAGCAGCCTGGCGGCCTGGAAACAAGCTCTGTGGCTAGGAATCCAGTGGGTCCATGTATGGAAGATCTCTGAAACTGAGTTACCTGAAAGGTCAGCTGAGCCTGCTGTTGGAACACATTCTGTCTACCACAGGGGTAAACCCGTCCTGCAAGGTGCTCCTCAGAAAGCCTATAACAACAGAGACTAGAGACCCCACTGATTTCATAGACAGAATGACTCAATATGCATATTTGTTTGGGTGTGTGTGTTTGCTAAATAATGGGTGGACTTATTTGGTCTGAGATTTGCTTTCTTTATAACATAAAGAGAAGAAGACTTGGTTAATTATATGACTTACTGAATCATCCAGGTTTTATGTCATATAAAACCCAAGAGCAAAGTAAGATAACAAATAGCCTTCACCATTCACTAATGGTTAAAGCTTACCAATCCTTGCCGATGATACATTCTCTAGTTAACCTACGTTCATTTGCAACTGGTTGAGAGAAGGATGGGGGCATGATTAAATTATAAGTATCAGGAGACCTCAGAAAAATGGGAGGAGAGACGAAAAAGTCCCACAACATAGATAAAACAGCAGGAAGGTGTTTAGTGGAGTTAACAAATGCTTCACACTTTGAAAATTGTGAGCACAAACGGAAAAACTTCGGTTTTAAAATTAGAGGTAAAATAAATCATTTTTAAGAAAAAAAATTAATAGAATGGCAGTGGAGTAGAAATTTCCAGAAAAAAGAAATGATTAAGAACTTACTGAGTTATTCTGTATAAAATACCATGCCAGGTTTTGTTAGGAAAACGCAATATATAATACAGATTTTCTGAATTGTAACAATATTTGAATTGGGGATTTCTTAACTGGAAAAGATGTTATGAAAAAATAGTGTCCAAGAGTAACGAAACACAAAGAAGTTATTATTTCTTTGGTTGCCCATTCGCTTATTCTATATCACTATTATTCTGTTCTAATTTATTTACTTTATCCAGTTTATTCCACCTTCTTTTGATAAAATAGTACCAGGTTCTCTCTTTAGGTAATACTCCATTTTCATTATGTGGTTAATATAGTGACTATGTGATACACACCACCAAATCTAACCATGGGCACAGATTGGGTTGAGACAATTGATACAATGCTTCAGTGATAATAATTGATTCAGAGATGAGCCTATGGCTAAATTCGGGGCAATGAGAATGAGGTTCAGGAATTCTATTAGATACCTAAGGAACAGAGGTTTTTTTTTTTTTTTTTTTTTTTTTTTTTTT